ATTTCTCATGTGTTTTATTATGTTTCCACTGTAATCTCTTATTGGGCTGAATTTAATCTGTAGGAACCATGAACCAGGCTCTCAGTCTTATAGAAGCCAAAGCCTAGAAACAGGCTAGCCATTATCTCTCAAAACAAATTACTAATGCTCAATAGTTGCTGATATTTTTTACTCCAGAAAACCAATTGTAACTTCTTTTTCTCGTTAGGATTTACAAGGTGCTAAACTCTGCCTTCACTAATTACTGAGACCACTGCATTCTATCATTATTAGGGACATAGAAACCAAATAGAAGCCAAAACCAAGAGGCAGATCTGCTCTTCTTTTTAGAGCAGGTTTCCCCAGGACAGCAATGTTTATTACTCACTCTGAATATGAGCTTCAGCAGGATTTCCAGAAAGATGATATACTAACACAAGAACCCAATTAGACTATTCACTTGTTGATGGGGGGAAAGTAAAGACATTTTTCCCTAGATTTTATGAGAATATTTCAAAAACACAAGACCCTGAGGAACTTTCATTGCCTATATGATCCCAAGTGACTCCCAGTAAAACCATTTTCACTGCTATTTCATGATTATCATGACATTATTTTAGTGGGCTAACTGAATTTTTACTTCTGGAAGACCAAAGTACCTGTGAACAGGCTTATGGAAAATTATAGAGCACTTTACATATCCATCTGATCAATTCAGTTAATAAAAATCAGCTGTTCCTTCCAGGTGAAGGCAAACTGTTTTAATTGGCATGGATGTGCAGGGACCAAGGAAAATGCATGACCCAGCTCTATATCATATGCTATTGCCCTGATAAAGTGCTTTAGAAAACAGTGGAAGCCCTGGAGGCTGGCCAGCCATTAGTATAACCCTCATACTTGGGGTTTAGGAACCAGGTCCTTTTCCTTTTGCTGTAGGACTCAGCATAGCCCACACCCAACCATTAATTCTGATATTGTTTTTTGCTTAATTATAATTTTATACTTTTTCCTCAATCCCCTGTTATATATGTATTCTGTGTAAGGCAAGAAAGTCTGATATTATTTGCAGTGCTAAGTATCTATCTAGCCTATTTTTATGTACACATTTAAACTTATTTGCAGTTAAAAAAATTTTTTTTAACTAATTTGCTGTTATAAACTACACAGCTACTGCAGGATCTGGAGATCCCATATGGACGTGGGCATGAACATTAAAAACATTTTTAAAATGTTTTTATATTGACAAATGGAGAAATGCAGTAGCAGTTAATCACCTTCTCTGTGTTCTTCACCTCCCTGATTTGTATGCAAATACACACTGAATATAAGTTGTTCCTCTTTATTATTATCTTATATCCTTTTCTTGCTGTTCCTTACCCACAGCAGCCAAATGGTATTGATACTATTTTATCTTTTGTCACAAATATTTTTATTGTTGACTTATTCCTTCTTTAAAAGAACAAACCACAGAAAAGGAATAAAACATAGAGTATACTCTGGTTGCTAATTTTACAGATACCCAAGTGGCCTAGATCAAGTCAGTGACAAATAAATAATTTCGGGCATTGCATATACATTTTTTGAGACTATTAGATAATACCATAATTTAACACTATCCTCAAATTAGCCAAAGAAAAATTTTAAAGCCAAATAAGAACATCGGAAAAACAACCAGCCAACTATAATCACAGAAATCAGTAGAAGTAGAGGGGAGGGGGTTAGGGGGATGGGTTAGCCCGGTGATGGGTATTAAGGAGGGCACATATTGAATGGAGCACTGTGTGTTATATGCAAACAATGAATTATGGAACACTACATCAAAAACTAATGATGTAATGAATGATGACTAACATAACATAATAAAATAAAATAAAAGAAGTAGCCAACATATATGTGTACCTATGTACATCAATAAACATGAAAATGTTCTTATCAGTGTTATTCATAAAAGCCCAAAACATGAAACAATCCAAAAGTCTTTCAACAGGAAATAATCCAAAAGTCCCTCAACAGGAAATGGATGAAAAAATGTGGTATATCCACACAGTGATAGGACGGTCAACCTTGAAGATGGTCCCAATGACTCCACCTACTGTATTCATGCCTTTATGTAGTATCTTCCTATATTGTACAGGGTTGGTCTGTGTCAAGTGGAGGTGTGTGACTTACAAAGTTAGGTCATAAAAGACATTTTTACCTCCACCTTGCTCTCTTGGATCCATCACCCTGGGGGAAGCCAGTCAGTTATCTGTTGCCGTGTAACAAACATCTCTAAACCTAAAATAGCAACTGTTTGTATTTTCTCACAATGATGTAAGTCTAGAATTCAAGGCTTATCAAATTCAAGGCTTAGCAGGTGTATTAGTTTGAGTTCTCCAAAGAAACAGTAGCCAATGGGAGATTGTATAGATACAGATATAAGTATAGGTCTAGATACATGTTTTTATATCCGTATTTTATATCTAGATCTAGATCCAAGATGGCCTCACTCACATGTCAGGGAACTTGGTCCCAGCTGTTGCCTGGGGCATCATGATTATTCTCCACATGGCTACTGTCTCCATGTAATTTCTTATCATTCAGTAGTCTAAGACAGACTTCCTTACATGGTGGCAGTCATATTCGAAGAAAATGATGACAGAAGCTGCTTGGCCTCTTAATCCACAACCCACCCAACGTCACTTCCACCACATTTCAGTGGTCAAAGCAGATCACAAGGCCAGCCCAGATTCAAGGGGAGGCAAAACAGGCTCCATGTCTTGATGCAAGGAATTGTTGACAGTAGTCTCTGCAGATAATATACCATAGGCACTTAGAAGATGAGCTGACACACATTAAGACCACAGTGAGAAATGTAGCTAGCCAAGACCTAGTCATACCATCCCTGTGCCTGGCCAAAATTCCATCATCAGGAACAGCATTGACCCAACTCACATGTTATCCCTTTGGTCACCTGTCTGGGTCATCACCCATGCTGTGCCTTGTGCCCTTTTTGGGTACAAGCAATGACTCCAAGGATCTCCTACCATACCACAAGGTTTAGTACATCCAAGTCCTTATCATCTCTTCTTGAACTGCTGCAACAGCCCCGTCTTTCTTGCCACACTCTGGAATGTTGTCTACCTGTAGCGAGAATGATCTTATTAAAGTAGAATCAAATCACATCACTCCAGTGGTGTCCCATCATACAATCCAATTCTATGCCATGATCTGGTTCCGAGCAACCCGTCCGTCCAAGTCCTCCTCCATTCTTTCCTTGCTCAGTTCATTCCAGCAACCTTGGCTTTCTTGCTATCCCTCAAACACACCAAGCTAATTGTGCCTCTGGGGCCCTTTCTTCCCTCAGAATGCTCTTCCTGTAAATCTTGAATGACTGGTCTCTTTAGTTCACTCAAATCACTATTCAAATGACACTTCCTCAAAGAGATCTTCCTTAACCACCCTACTCAAAAATAGCACTCACAGCCCACCCCTGAATACCTTTTTCCTGATGGAGCTTTATTTTTCTTCATAACACCCCCTAGAATTACCTATTTTTTTAATTTATAGTCTCTCTTCTCCACTAGAATATAATTTCTGTAAGAGCATAGAAATTCGTCTCCCAACATATAAAACAGTGCCTAACACATAATAGGTACTCAATAAATATGTGTTGGGTAAATGAAAGACCCCGGGATCAACTGGGGCAAAAACAATGGGAAGCAAACCCAGTGATGCTGAGCACTGCCCTGCCCTATCCTGTATATCTCAATTCTGGTATTCTCATCTTTCCTTTTTAATTGAGATATAACTGACATACAACATAATATAAGTTTTGGGTATACAACATAATGATTTGATATTTGTATACATTGTGAAATGATCACCACAGTAAATCTAATTAACATCCATCACCATACACAGCTTTAGAATTTTGTTTCTTGTGTTAAGAATTTTAAGATCTAGTCTCTTAACAACTTTCAAATATGCAATACAGTATTAGTAACTATAGTTACTATGCTGTACATTACCTCTTGTGACTTATTAATGTTTGTTCCTTTTGACCCCCTTCACCCATGTGGCCCACCTCCCATCCCCTGCCTCTGGCAACCACCAATCTAGTCTCTGTATCTAAAAGCTCCATTGTTTGGGGTTTTTTTTGAGATTCCACATGTAAGTGAGATCATATGGTATTTGTCTTTCTCTGAATGACTTATTTCACTTTGTATAATGCCCTCGAGGTCTATTCATGTTGCCACAAATGGCAAGATTTCATTCTTTTATGCCTGAATAATATTCCATTGTATATATACACTACATCTTCTTTATCCATTCATTTGCCAATGGACACTTAGGTAGCTTCCATGTTTTGGCTACTGTAAATAATGCTGCGGTGAACATGGGGTGCATATATCTTTTCAAGCTAGGGCTCTCATTTTTGTCAGATAATCTGGTATTCTAATCTTATCACTGGTGTTCAGTTACAATTTGGTGTTTCAGGAGAGAGAACTTGCAGACTGAAGGGGACAAGTTGGGGACAATTGATATGGGCATCTGTAAGATGCAGGTGGAAAAAGACTAGATGTGGCCCTTATTTGGGAACCTGTAGCCAATGTGGACTGTCCTAGGATGACAGGTTGTCTCTTCTGTCTTATGTTTGCTATGTGTACCACCTTTCTGCCAGAGACACCTTGGGTATGTCCTACAGCAGTGAGGAAATAGGGAGAGGTGCGCACAAGAGGCAAAGAAGAAAGGAAACAGATATTATTGCATACCAGCTACATGCTGAACAGTTTCCCATGTATTATCTCATTTAACTCTTAAAACAACAGGTATTACTCTTCATTTCACAGATACGGAAAATGTACGGCAAGGTGGGTAGGCATTGTCTGCTGATGCCAGGTAGGCGTGCCAACAGGAAACAAACTTCAAAAGATAACCCAGGCTTTCTCTTCTTCTCTGCCTGTCATTACGGAAAACCTATGTCCTGTGATGACAATCCATCCCTTTGCGGAGTTTCTGATGTTTGCTCTTCACCACAGTGGTGTCCTGTGGCCATCCGGGCTCCCCACCCCATGCCCTGATGTCCGGGGACAGCTTTACCGTGGGAGCAGTCGTGCGTTACAGTTGCACCGGCAAGAGGACTCTGGTCGGAAATGCCACCCGTATGTGTGGGCTGGATGGACACTGGACTGGCTCCCTACCCCACTGCTCAGGTAAGGAGCCTGGCATGAGGAAGCAGGGTCCAGTGGAACCCTTGGCTGGGGGGAGATGGGACAAGCTCCCAAGGTGTGAGTGTGACAGACGGGCAGGAGGGAAGTCAACCTTTTAGACCCCCATTTCATAGGCAGAGAACACAGCTATCAGAGGTCCCAATCGAACTTCAGCCTTTGGTGGTCTGAGACCAGCTTCCTCCTCTTGGTCTCCTTTGGCCAAGCCCATACAACCCAGAGATTGCAAAACTAGGGAGAATGCAAGTTTGTGAGGTCCCCCTGCAGCCAGAGTCCTGTCCAGACACTTGTTTCCATAAGTTTCTGAGAAGAGTCCAAGCCTCCCTGTTTCGGGGCCCAGATCCAAACCCACCCTTGTGTTCCTTCCCTGTTTGGGACTCCAAGGCCCCAGGCTGCTTCCTTTTCTTTCTTATCACTGCCTCCCCAACTTGTCTTATGTCTAGGCTGCCTAGTGGGATACAGGTCTCCCCTATTGCCCTTATACACCAGTCTCAGATTTTTCCTATTAATATATTTGTTTTACTATTAATCTCTATGAGGATACTGACAGATGCTATCCAAAGAGCAAATTTAAGAAACTGCCAAAGCTCTTGTGTCCATACTATCCAAACCAGAATTTCATCTATAATGTCTTAACAGAACAAAATATTTGAAATTGAATTGGCCCACCAATGACAGAAATCACTAACCCAAAAATTAGTACCCCTGAACTTGGTCTCCTTTGAGATGAGCCTGCCTGGCCCCAGAAGGGATCCCATAAGGTGTGTTAACCCCAAGAAGGCAACTGCTCATGTAGCTTTATGTTTCTCAGGGGGCCCACCTTGGCATTGATATTAACCCCTATCCCTTCCCATGCCAGGCCCCCTCTAGAGGTAAGAATCCCAACCTCCTCCTATTATAGATGCTATCTCCTTGATTTGGGACTTCACCCACAAGACATGTATGTAGCTGTTCCTGCAGTCTGAGTTCCCAGATGATCTGTCTCCCAAAATTTAGGGCACTGCCAGAATATTGAACCAGATATTGGTTAGGTCTCCCCAGAAAGAAGAAATTCCTCAAGTGCTGGCCACTGTTTCAAAGGGCTTCTGACTGCCCAGGACAAGCTTAGACACATCACTCTATCACCACCCAGGACTTTGGCCCCTCACCTTTATTAATTTCATTAATCACTCACTTTATGAACTGGGTGGGACTATATATTAGCCATGGAGACTGAACTAGAGGAAAGACTATTAACCAGGCCCCTAACTTCATTTTGTTTGGACTTCTGGTGGAAGTGACTTGGGGAGGATGGCATGGAGAAGACAGAGTCCTGTATATGGAGGCCTCCTGGGTTACCCACAGAGCAAGTTCCTGGAGGAAAAGGCATTCCAAAGAGGAAAGTCATGCATTTCCCATCCAAATGCCTGCATAAGCATGCATTTGCCCCAGTCTCTTCTGTGAATTGTCCCTTTACATAGTTTCTCCCTCTAGACACCTCTCTAGGGCATTGGGCCAATGGTGTTCTTAAAGCCTATTTTATCTATCTTGGGGATCTTTGTTCTCCATGGGAAAGGGAATTGCAGAGTACAAGAGAAAGAAGCCAAAAAGAAAGCCTTGGGCCTCTCCTGCCTGTTAACATGTATAACCCAACCACACAGCCATTCTCCTGGCCCAAGGCATGGAATCCAAAATCTTTTCTCCTCAATGTAATTTCCCTTCTCTGGAGTTGTGTTAGGAGACGCTGGAAAATGACCTACTTGAAAAATGACCTACCCCAGAAACAATTCTTGTCTGGGATAGAAAACTAAGCTAGAAAACCTACAGCCCTGAGATTTCATAATTTTGTGACTTCCTAAATACCAGTCCTGTGTGTGAAAAAAAGGGACTCTTCCTTGGTCACATCAAAGGTCAAGGGAGACTAGAAACAAACTGACTCTCTGGGAACATGAAAAAGTGAAAAGCAAGAAAGGAAGGGATATGTTGCATTCAGCTATTTTATACCTGATGATGAATATTCTGAAGAATAGTTTGCAATCACTTCTCCCATGCATCCATCAAGGATGACAAACACTTTGGAGACCAGAATCATGGGCAGAGTTTTGCTGGTGACCTCTGAGGACAGGATTAGAGGGGATTATATTAATGCTAAGGTTGAGGAATGAATGAATCTTAAATACTTTAGATAAGAAACTGAGAGATGTAAAGAATAAGTGATTAGGAAGTAACACTAGAGGTGCTCTTGTGAGTAGAATATAATTCCTCCCTTCCTGAAACTTACAGATACCATCTTTTGCAACACTATCTCCTGCCAGTCCTAAGAAATATGCATTCAGAAATCCAGGGTCACATTTCCGAGCCTCATTCTGTATGCCCATGCATAACAGGCTATAAGTGCGTGGGCCATCATCAGAACATGCAGAGATTTCTAGCATCTGAGACATGCTTCAGGTTGATCATTGTCCACCTCTGCAATGTCATCATTTGCTGATATACCTCAGTAGAGGACCAACAGTTACCGTGTGCCCCTGTGGTACAATATTGTGTCTCAGACTCCTTTATATCACCAAAAGAGAGCCCCAAACACTACAGTGAGGACCATTCTGTCAGAATAAGGTCCCAGGACTGGAGACCTCCACCCTCAGGCCTGTTGTTCAGTAGTGCACCTCCAGCTAAGGTCACCTAGCCAGTGTGGGAGTTTGTGTACTCACCATCAGAACTGCCTTCAGGGGGACCCAGTGCAGCCTGTTGCATTAGCTACACCCTGGAAAACTCCAAGAGAGAAGAAAATCTAGCCAAGTGTGATGGGCCCTCTTTTTCCAAATGTTTGAGTTGAAGGTTGAATGAATCCCCCTTCCTTGGTAGAGAGCAACATGGGATCATATAGTAAGTATTCTCACAGTCTGAGACTAAATGAGAAAAGGAAATAATTCCATGATCGAGAAGAAGAGACATAAATGGTAAATGGTGGGGTATACATGACTTAAACATTTATTTACTCCAACAAACTAAACGTGCTTACTCAGACATTAGCATTTGATGCCCACACATGTGGGTTCCTGAGGAGATACATGCCACATCAGATGGCACCCTGTCTTCTCATGAAGTTGCCATTTATTCCTTCATTTTCCTCTTCCTTCGTCATGCTTCCCATGGCCTAGTCTGATCTAATGATGTCTCCTATACAACTCTGTATTATGAGGGGTGCTGGTTTCCACAGGTCTCGACCTTGTGGCTTTGTCTCCTGTTCTCTACCCTCCTCCACCCCTTGGGTCCTTAGCACTCTCTTGGGTGGGTCTGTACAATATCAGGACCCAGATGAATGCAGCAATGTAGCAGGAGGCAAGGGGCGAAGAAAGAATGGAATGAGAGAGTCCAAAACATTTCACCTAGAATTCACCTGTGTTACATACTTGGTGAATAGGGAATCCTCAATGAAAGGCCCAAGATCCAGATTCAAGCCGAGCTGTTGAGAAGACAAAACTACACTAAGGAGTTTAGACTTTAACCCATAGGCTATGGGAAGCTAGTGGAGACATTTCAGTAGGAAAGAAACAAGATCAGATGGTTGGTGGTTGTTCATTGTCAAGGTTTGGGGATAAAGTGGAAGTTGGGTTACAGGGAGAATTTAGGAGGTAGGGACATTAGGAGACTCTCACAATAGTTGGGGCAAGAGAATGCTGGGAATGTGAGCTAAGATGCTGGAACCAGGGACAGAGAGGGCGCAGAATCCGCAGATATTGTAGAGAAGAGATAAAAGGAAGGAGGAGGAGATGTGGCCAGCTTGAACCACTGACATTCCACACTGGCACTGGCCAGAAAGAAAAGGCCTGATCTCTACCACAGAGCCTTCCCTCTGCTTTCTTCCCTTGCTGTGCAATCCCTGGGGACTCACCCATGACCGCAGACCTTTGTATTCTCTGACCTCTGGGTAGTAAGGCAGGTAGTAAGGTCCAACTAACTGGGGTAAGACACACAGTTTTCACACCCCTTATTCCTGGGACCCAAAGCCTCCCCTTAGCACCAACCCAGTATCTCTCTGCCAATTCTTCCATGCTAAAACAACAGGGTTTGTTTGGTTCTGGTCCACAGGAACCAGCATGGGAATCTGTGGTGACCCAGGGATCCCAGCACACGGCATCCGTTTGGGGGATAGCTTTGCCCCAGGCAGCCTGATGCGTTTCAGCTGTGAGGCTGGCCACACACTCCGGGGATCATCTGAGCGGACCTGTCAAGCCAACGGCTCATGGAGTGGCATGCAACCTGAGTGTGGAGGTAATGTATGTGACCATTCTGCTTTTCCCCTTTGCCCACCCCGGCTGCTCGTCCCCCATTTGCCTGCTCCCAAGCACCTGCCCTCACCCTTGCAGACAAAATCCACGGCCCCATTTGGAACCCTTGGCCTGGAGGATGGTGGTCAATAGATAGTCCTCAGTCATGCTCATCAGGAATCCAAAGATGAACATATTCCCCACCCTCACCTAAGAGGGGAAGAAACCAGAAGGAACTAAATTTAGCCCCGTTTATTCATTTATTTCCCATACAGCTCCCACAACTATGTGCCAAATACTATAATAGGTGCTGGGGACACAACTGTGCCGAGACGAACACACCTCACCCTCTTGGAGTTTAGTTTAAGGGAAGAGACTGTTAAACAATTATCCAAGGTGCCAAAAGAAATACAAATCTCATTTTTAAAAGACCCTTTAAAGGTAACAGAAGTCCCTACTGAGGTTTTCTGAGGTAGCTCCAGTGGGGGAATTTAGATTTCTCCACACACTCCTGAATTTCTGAAAATAACTTTATTTTAAAACCTCTCTCAGGACGCCTGGGTGGCTCAGTCGGTTAAGCATCTGCCTTCGGCTCAGGTCATGATCCCAGGGTTCTGGGATCAAGTCCTGCATTGGGTTCCCTGCTCAGCGGGGAGCCTGCTTCTCCTTCTCCCTCTGCCTGCCACTCTGCCTACTTGTGAACTCTCTGTCAAATAAATAAATAAAATCTTAAAAAATAAAAATAAATAAAAAATAAAACCTCTCCCCAGAGTCCAACTTTTTGGAGCTGCTCCCGGGATCTCTCTGCCGCTCTCTAAAATACAGCCTGCGTAGCACTTTCCTAATTAGGAATCAGTGTAACCGCTGAGAGTAAGGGTGTGTGAGAAGGTGCTGGAAGAGGAGGGAGACCATATGAAAGAGTCACCTAGCAAGGGAGGCGTGGGAGTTGAATAGGGAAAGATATAATTGCCAGCAGCACGAGGGCTCACTTAAGGAAAAAGGCCATTAATTTAAAGTGAGAGTGGTCAGCATCGGCCTGTGTTTTTGTTCGGGCCACATTTTGTCCCATAGGTGTAGACTTAGGGTAGGTGAAGCATTGGGTATACAGTTGAGGTTTTATCAGGCAGCTAAGACGTTGGCAGCAAGTGGCAAGTGAGGAGAGGGTTTATGCAAGGCAACGATTATGATGGATCTTGGCATCTATGCTGGGTAAGGAGGGAGCAGGTTTATGAGTGGAGTAGGGGACAGTGAAAAAGTGGTAGGGGGGCGCCTGGGTGGCTCAGTCGGTTAAGCGACTGCCTTCAGCTCAGGTCATGATCCTGGAGTCCCAGAATCGAGTCCCACATCGGGCTCCCTGCTCAGCAGGGAGTCTGCTTCTCCCTCTGACCCTCCCCCCTCTCATGCTCTCTCTCTATCTCATTCTCTCTTAAATAAATAAATAAAATCTTAAAAAAAAAAAAGTGGTAGGATACATGGATTATAGGTCCCACTGGAACCAAAAATATCACCAGAGAATGAATCCCAGAGGGTATGAGCTGAAGAGATAAGAGGCAGTGGTCAGAAAATGGCCCTTGAAATTGCGGTTGTGGAGTAAGTCCTACGAGTGCGGGGATGCCCTCTCCCACTTGTCTGCCTAAAGTCCTGCCTTTCTGAGGATGCTTTTGCAAAGTTAGTTTCCACGGGATTTTTTTTTTTTTCAAGTGGGCTCCACACCCAGCAGGAGCCTGAACTGAGGACCCTGAGATCTAGACTTGAGTTGACATCAAAAGTCAGACACTTAACCAACTGAGTCACCCAGGTGCCCCTATTTCTATAGGATTTTGTAGGCATAGTAAGAGGTCTGTGGTAGTGGGAGAGTATATTGGCAGGGGGAGAATTTAGTGCATTCTCAAATATCCACTGTGACCCAGGTCCCCTTTCATACCACTCAAGTCCCAGCATGGAGTCAGTCAACATGTCAGGAGTGTTCGGGGAACAGAAAGCGGGTGGCTAAGAATTTAGACCTGGAAGTGAATGGTTGTTAGATGAGTGTGTGTATGATATGGACACAATTCTTCATGACTTTCATTGACAAGTTCCCACTTACCTTTCAAAGTACAACTCAGATTCTTTTTTTCGGCCCCAATAAGCTCCTCCCTTCTTAGAGTGTTTTTTTCTTCAAGTATAACACTTATTGCATCATATTTTAATTCAACTGTTTATAAATAGGTCCTTAAGATGGACTGGCCTCCTGAAGGGCAGGGGACATGACTTCCTAACTATGTTCCCAGCACCTAGGCAGCACAAATACTTGTTGAATCCATGGGTGCTAAGACCTGTCTGTTGTGCTCATTATGTAGGAATTATTTGTAGATTTGACTTTGGGACCACATAAATGCTGTATATACTTAGCAAAGTAAATTAAATCAAAGATCAGAAACAAGCAATCTCTAAATATCAAAATCAAAATGAAAACAAATGAACATAACTACTCCTCAAATTGGTGATTTAACAGTCCAGAGAATTATTTCAACTGACTTGAAAAAAGTGGAATTTGACTATGGCATATGTGCCCTAAGGACAAAGAGAATGACAATGAAATCTTAAATTGTTTTTCAGCAATCGTATTATTAGTAATAATATTGATATTACCATCCTGAAACTTTTTGAAAACAAATTAAAATCATTTATCATTAAGAACCAAGATTTTCAGCATTAAAGAGATATAAAAGTAAAGAAGTTAAGGAAAGACTCTTAATCCTAAATTTGGATTGGTAATATCAGCATAAACTCATAATGAATTTTCAACCTAAAAAGTTATTTTCCCAGCTCTACCCATTCTAAAAGTCTAGTATCAATGACCAGCTCAGTAGCAACGAGTACCCTTAATTTTCAGATTATGGTTTTTAAATCCATTCTCCATTAAAAGAAACCAGAGCTCTTTAGAGAAATGGCTGATTCCAGGACTGGGGCAGGATATACAAGATGAACATGGAACACAGTGTCACTCCAGCAAGAAATCTACCATAGACGAGTGGGATCATGTCAAAGGAACACAGAAGCCAACATGGAGAGGCTCCCCCTAGCCAAAGATGGGATAACTTAAGCATCAATAAGAATAATAGTGGCTATACCTTGGCTAATTGAATTTAAATAAATTTAAAAAAGAATAATAGTGGCAATTGGTGGCAACATAATAAATTTAAACCCACGAGTCCAAATGACTATCCATCATCTTTGGAGCTTACTAGGAAACCAAATCATTATTCTGACATCAGATAAGAAAGAAAATCAAACATTATCCAGCCTTCCTTTATGAATTGTATTTCAGGGAAAGCAAATATTTGATGATGGGCAAGTTCTTTATTAAAGAACTCTAGCAAAAAAAAATAAAATAAAATCTTTAAAAAAAATTCATTATCTGAAATTCAAATAGAAAAAAAAGAACTCTAGCTAATTCAGAAAGAATTATAGAATTAGGGCGCCTGGGTGGCTCAGTTGGTTAAGCGACTGCCTTCGGCTCAGGTCATGATCTTGGAGTCCCAGAATCGAGTCCCACATCGGGCTCCCTGCTCGGCAGGGAGTCTGCTTCTCCCTCTGACCCTCCCCCCCTCATGCTCTCTCTATCTCATTCTCTCTCAAATAAATGAATAAAATCTTTAAAAAAAAAAAAAGAATTATAGAATTAGATATCACCATTTTCTGTCCCTTAATGAAATAACAAATCTAGTCAACAACCATCAAGTGCTGCTTAAACCATTAAGTGAACAACCAATGGGAACTCTGTAATGCCGGATGAGATGGGCTAACCCGAACCCATTCAATCAGCCTCAACATCACGAACAAGGAAACATTCTGTACCTCCTGATGTGGCGCAGTAGGAAAGACAGGACCACCTATGAAGTGCCCTTGCCGAGAAGCAGAACCTGACTTACAGGAACTATAGGAGACAGAGCAACATGGGGAACAGCACCTCACCAGTGCACTTAGCAACATCTGGAACGCCCTGGAGTCTGTAACAGATAAATTCTAGGAGAGGGAACAGGAATCTCTGAATTCAAAGAGGCTTAGAGGCATAAGATTGTCCAAAGTCATATTTGGATCATGATTCAAACAAATCAACGGTTTAAAAAAAAAAAGGTGGGGGGTTGGACAACTGAGGTAGATTAAGCACTGGTTGGATATTTGGTGATATTAAGGAATTGTCTAAAATTTTAGGTGGGATAATAAAAGTAATTAGTCTTTACGTCTCAGAAATTAAAAAAAAAAATTCATTCAGACCTCTCCTTCCCTTCTGGGGGCCAGACCCTCAGACACGAAAGCAGCCTGAGTGGCCTTTCAGTCCGCAGGGTCCTGACGTAGCCCGCGGGTTGCCCTCCGGGCCGCTCTCTGCCCCCCGGCTGACGCCCCGCCCTTGTTCTGGTGACTAATGCGCTCCTCTGGCTTCCCAGTGATCTCTTGTGGGAACCCCGGGACTCCCAGCAATGCCCGAGTCATGTTCAGTGACGGCCTGGGCTTCTCCAGCTCCGTCGTCTATGAGTGCCGGGAGGGCTACTACGCCATGGGCCTGCTCAGCCGACACTGCTCCGTCAATGGCACCTGGACAGGCAGTGACCCGGAGTGCACAGGTGAGAGCCCAGGGCTTCTGGGCTCCGGGACGAGTGGTGGCCAAGGCGATCGGGCTCCTCCCCGCCGAAGAAAGCTGTCCGTGGGAGACTGGGAAGGCTGGCTGCAATGGGGGGACTCGCCCCCGAATGAGAGTGCCTATTTATTGAGCATGTGTTGTTTGACCACCACTGAGCTAAGTGTTTGATTTGATTTGCATTATGTCATTTGATTCCCACCACAGCCCACTTGACATATGAGATGACTGAGGCTCAGGGAGGTTGAGAATATATATATTTGCTATTCCTCGGGCTCTCACCAGCTCCTTGGGCTTTCTTGTTCTCTTTTGCGGCAAACTCCCTGTGCTCAGCCTGATCCTAAAGCCACCACCATCCACCATCTTCGTGGGTTCCTCTCGGCCTTGGACCCATTCCCCTGCCCCCAGCCTGGCTCTCAAGCCTCGTATAGCCCCACTGCTCCCCTTCCCTGCTCCTCTCTGGGGCAGCCCCAGACCTTTTTCCTTGGGAAGTAAGTCACTGTGGGTCCCAGATGGAGGGAAGTGACAAGATAAAGGTATCTGAGAACACAGTCCCTTTCCAAGCCCTAGCCTGTGATTTCAGGGCTCTGTGTAAATCCCATGTCAAGTTCACTTTTCCGAGGCCAGAGCTCACCAAACCCCACCCTCACTCCATACCATAACAAAGACACAACCATTGCAAGGTTACAAGACCCTGCTTCTAAGCCGCTGGCCCTACAGGGGCCTCCTAGGCAGAACAGGAGGTAGTCACATGTGCCCCTCAGCAGACAAATTGTCTTATGAGGTCCAGTAACACAGGCTCTTCGGTCAGAAAACTTCCCTCTCTGAGCCCCAGCCTCATTTAGGAACTAAGCCCTCTGGGTACTTCCTCTGAGAGGAGTGGGCTTTGAATAAGGATGGTCTTCATAGTCCAAGTTGCTGGGGTGCATAAAGATGGTGGGGGCAAGGACAGTGGGGATGTGGGAGGGCCATTGCAGAGAGACTTGGCCAGAGGGACTTTAGAAAGTGCAGTGCCCAACCGGGACCTTGTGAAGAGTCAGGGCATCCCTGATCTGACTCTCTTCCCTCCTGGACATGTGCAGGGAGTACCAGGGATAGCATTGGAGTGCTGGGGAGGAAAGGGGTCTGTACCGAGAGTGAACCATGCTTTATCTCCCTTCTCCTAGTCATAAACTGTGGCGACCCTGGGATTCCAGCCAATGGCCTCCGGCTGGGCAATGACTTCAGGTACAACAAAACGGTGATGTTTCAGTGCGTCCCTGGCTACATGATGGAGTCACATAGGGTGTCTGTGCTGAGCTGCACCAAGGACCGGACATGGAATGGTACCAAGCCAGTCTGCAAAGGTGTGTCTGAGGGCTGCACATGTGGACACAGGGCCAAAGAAGATACAAAAGTGAGACATGGGCCTCGAACATGTAGCAAGGAGGGAGGTGACGAGGCAGAGCCCTAATAATATCTTGTCATGGGGGGTGTGAGGTAAGGACTGATCCCTGAACATCTGCAAGGAGGGAGTTAGAGACACCAAGGTAAGGCCTGGGCTTTGAGCATCAAGGGAAGGACTGTGCAGACAGAGGAGTGGGTTGTCACACTTGAGGGCATTGTAAAATGCAAAAGGACCCCAGCTCCCAAACTAAGAGGGAGCATTTCTGATTCTCCCCGCTTAGCCCAGACTCCCAGCAGGCGCAGGGTAGCCAGTGACATCGGTGCTGGGGAGTGGGGCCTAATGCCCTAGGATGGCACCAGAACTCAGCGTGCTTTGCTCTTCCCCCTCCCCCAGCTATCATATGCAAGCCACCTCAGCTCATCCCCAATGGGAAAGTGGTGGGATCTGACTTCATGTGGGGCTCAAGCGTGTCGTATGCCTGCCTGGAGGGGTACCAGCTGTCCCTGCCTGCAGTGCTCACCTGTGAAGGGAATGGATCCTGGACTGGAGAGTTGCCTCAGTGTTTCCGTAAGTTTGCTTACGAACAGGCCTTTGTGCATCCTATCTGCTGGCTCCTTCCCCTTCCCTCCTCAGAGTTCTGCTACTGGAAGGCCTAGAATAGGTAATAACCTTCCCCCAAAATCAGGGAGAGGCTTTGCCAAAGACACTCTTAAAGGGAGTTTAAAGGAAAATAATGAGAATATCCCAACTGAGCCCCGGCTGTGGACACCATGTGGAGTTACAGTGGAAGGAAGTTAAGCCAGAGATAAGGGAGGTGTTTCTTTTTTTTTTTTTAATTTTTTTATTGTTATGTTAATCCCCATACATTACATCATTAGTTTTAGATGTAGTGTTCCATGATTCATTGTTTGTGCATAACACCCAGTGCTCCATGCAGAACGTGCCCT